ATATAAACGTCAGGCTCTAGTCAAACTGAACTCTGGCTGCTGTGTGTTTCTGCAGGGTGAGGCACATTGTGAGTCTGAATTTCGTGCTCTCTGACATCGGCATTGACTCTGGGTTGGCAGGAAGCGCGCAGAAGGGTTTCAGAGGGTGGAGAAGTAAGAATCGGAGGGACCCTCGGCCTGGGGGCTGGGAGGAGCCCTGAGGAATAGGAGCATCTCTGTTCCTGGAGCAACCTCCCTGCTCAGAGATGATTCTGTGGAGGCGAAAATGAGGTAGACACGGGAGGGCCCCTCCCTGATCCCAGCTCACTGGGGGTGGGAACTCCCGTACCCGCCCAGACCTCGGGCTGCCCATCTCTTCCTTTGGCTGGTCTCGATCTTCATCCTTTATGATAAAGCTATAAGGTGAGGCTATGTAGGTTTGAGCCTGGTGAGTTACTGAACCCGAGGGAGTCGTGGGGACCCCCGCATTTGTAGCCAGATGGTCAGAGAGGCAAAGGCCTGGGCTTCCCCAAAGTGCAGTGGCATCTGTACAAGGGGGTCTTGTGGTGGCCAGAGGCTGTAACCTGTGGGGCCTGCCCTGACTCCCAACCATTCACGCCATTATTAAATGGAAACGCCCCAGCAGGACAGAGGAGGAACCCCAGAAAGCATTCACAATGGCATGTGTTTATCTAGGGAGAGTCACTACTTGTCAGCCTCTCTGTGGGGTTGGTGACCCCAGCAAAAATGGAGAACCACTACTTGGGGGAATCCCAGGCTTTGGGGGTCACCTTACCCTAAGCCCATCCCTCCCTCCTACCGCTGTATGAGTAGATAGTTGCTTAACCTCTAAGCCTCGGTTTACTCATATGTAAGATGAGCACAGTAACAGTTCAGCGTCATCCTGGGGACGGAAGGTGTATTCTTGGCCGGATGTTCCCAGCCTCACTAGATGCTGCTTTCTTTTCACTGCCCTTTGCCCCCAACTGCCCCTTGCCCGTGTCCTGTCTTTCAGCCCAAGGCAGGGGCAGGGTGATCTCAGGGACCCCAGTTAGGATGCAGCTTCCAATTGGGCCCTGGGGCAAGGGGTACAGGAGGTCCCAGCCAGCAGGGTCGTGACTCAATGACCCTGAGCCCCGAGCCCCTCCTGAGGAGAAGATTCCCCAGACTGGGTGGCCTTACCTTAAGTCCCGGACATTCTGCTGGTTCTCCTGGCTGCTGGAGCTGTGAGTGGAGCTTCTACCCCCGTGGCTGGTAAAAGACACAGTTGTGACTTTGGTTGTGGTTGTTGAGGTCCTGGCTGCAGTGACAATGGGAGCTGGTGTCGACCTCGCTGCTGGGGAGAAAACCACAAATTAGACTCAAAGTTCTCTTCTCCGATTCGATTTCACACCCACTACTCAGAAAGCGGACAGGGTGGGGACCCCGGGGCCAAAGTCTCCCTGAGACTCTCCTGAGCCAAGAAAGCATTTGTCAAGAGGAAATAGGAAGTGCCCGAACTGCTTCCATTCCATCCTGCTGGTGGGGCAGAGCCCTCCCAAGAACCCCTGACTCGGCCCCCCTGGCCTGGTCTGGTCTCCCTCCAGCCACAGCGTGTACTGCGAGCGATGTCTGTCCAACTGCAAAGCTGATCTGTCACTTGTTCAAGCTCCTTCTGTATGCAGCACGGCCACCGTCAGGCCCTCACCTGCCCCTCTGCTCAGCCCCCACCTCCCTCCAAGCAGCTCTGGTTTCCTGGGGCTCAACTTTCCTCTGCACTCTCCAGGTGTCTTCTGCCACCCAATGGCACCTTCCTTCAAGACTATGCCAAACTGCCAGTGGCACCAGGGTGCTCCCTGTCACCCTGGGCTGTCTCTCTCTCCCTGTCCTTCTCTCTCCCTGCCCACTGGCCCTACACACTCACAGAGTTTGCTCTGAGTCTCTCATCTGAGTCCTGCCCCATTGACTCCCACCTGAGCCCTTTAGGGCAGTGCCAGGCCTGGGGTAGGGGACTCACCTGGGAGCACAGACACCACAACCTTGAAGGTGGAATCTAGCCACGGTTTATCGACCCCACACGAGTAGGTGCCTTCATCCTCCAGGGTGAGGCTCTCCAAGGTCACTGTGAAGCTGCGGTTGGCGGGATGGTCCCTGATGGTCACTCGGCCACTCGTTGCTTTTCTCATTGAGCCTTTGGTCTCCACAATCTTGTCACATAGAAGCACGTGTGATCTTCTACACCAGTACTTGTCATGTGTTTCGTGTTCCTCCTCGTACCTGCACTGCACACTCAGGGATCCCCCCACAGTGCCGGTCACCTTGCTGGGGCCGCTCAGGAGGAAACAGCCTGGAAAACACAAGTCCCCATTCTGGGCCTCACAGCTGGGCAGTCAGGGTCCCAACGGGGGTCAGGTCCTCCCAAAGGCCCCCCACCGCTTCACCTCTTGTCAGCCCCGCACCCGCCAGATCACCCCTCACCACCTTCTGCTCTCTACCCGGCAGTTGGACAGCGCCCGCTACCCCTTTATCCAACTCCACGCCCTCCTCCCTTACTGACCAGGCCTCCTGCTTCCAAACTGGCCAGGACCACAAACACTCACCCCTGAGCTCCTATTCTCCCAGGAGGGTGACCCCTGCTCTGTCCCTCTGCTCCCACCTTGGGATGTGAGCCAGGGCAGAAGCAAGGTCTGCAGACCACTGAGGTGAGGATATGCACAATCTGCGAGTGTGTGGATCAAAATGTTCACAGTGCAGAAGACTTGTGACAACAACCTTCTTAGCGTCCTGTCCTATTTAATCTGCTCAGCTCTGGCAGATTAATTTTCAAGGAAGCTTATCTTTTATTCCCAAGATCTATGTCCCCCATTTTCCCAGAGTTTCCTCAGACACGAAGCTGGGGATGTCAGCACAAAACTAATGCTGCCACCAAGCCAAAGACACAGCACTGGTGGCCCTGTGATCAGGAGGGGACGGCAAGTCTGGGACGGCCTGCTCTCCTTACTATGGGTTAGGATACATTCCTTGTGCTGACCTTTTTAGATTCTTAACTCTCACTTAAAACTAGGACCCTTCAAATGCTCCTCTCCAGTCCTGTCTCTCAGGTGTGCTCTTCCAGGTGCTTTAATCCTCAAATCAAGAAAAAGGAGATGGATGGGTGGGGAGGAGAAGACCTAAATACACAAATAGAAGAAAAGTAACCAGGGTAGTCACTATGAATAAGTCTGTGAACCTGAGTGAAACCAATGACTTTCTAGGTAAATACAAATGACAAATATAGGCCAAAAATAAGTGTGTATGAAAACACGGACCAATAACAATACTTGGTACCAAGTTCTTTCCCTTCAAAAAAAAAAAGGGTGTGGGGGGGCTGCCCACTTTGGCAGCACATAGAAAAGGGGAGAGGGCAAAAAGGAGAGTTTCACAGGTTATTTCTCTCAAATCTTCAAAGGAATATACAATTCTAACTTACTTAAACTTTTGCAGCAAATACAGAATTGGAGAAATCTCTATAATTCTTTGTGTGAAGTCAGCATAACACTTTTGAGATAATTCTTGCCAAAGCTCTTAATAAAATTCACTACCTTAGGGCTGGGGATTTAGTTCAGTGGTTCTGCCACCTGCCTCACAAGTGCAAGGACCCAAGTTCAATCCCCGGTATCAAAAAAATAAATAAATAAAAATAAAATTCACCACCATGATAGTATAAAGGAGAGGAAAAAAAAAATCCTCCATAAATAAGGAAAAATCATCTGACACCTTGCTGCTGTTGCTTTTTATTTTATTATTATTATTTTTTGTTTGTTTTTTGAGACAGGGTCTCATTATGTAGTTGAGACTGATCTGGAACTCACTACGTAGCCCAGGCTGGTCTCGAACTCGCAGCGATCCTCTTGCCTCAGCCTTCTGAGTGCTGGGATTACAGGCGTGCACCACTATACCCGGCTGCTGTTGTTTTTTAAATGCTTGTGAGAGGGAAGATTTAAAAATGGCAGAATAGAGACAAATCAACATACAAAAATCAATATCATTCCTGTACCACAATAATAAACTCACCCCCCCAAAATTAGAAAGTAAAAGCATTCACAGTAGCATCAAGAAAAATTAAATACCTAGGAATTAACCTCTACAGAGAAGTGAAAGACCTGTAGAACAAAGGCTACAGTACTTTGAAAAAGGAGATCAAAGAGGACATCAGAAAATGGAAAGGTGACCCCTATTCCTGCATGGGCAGAACCAATAGTATCAATCAATAACACAATCCCAGATTTCAGGTTATATTGCAGAAATACTGTGATTAAAAACAGCGTGGTACTGGCACCAAATAAGACACATATATCAATGGAGTGGAACAGAAGCTTCAGGAACAACCCCAGGTGTATTCAGCTATTTGATCTTTGTCAAAGGGGCCAAAAATACACTCTAAAAGAACGATGGCCTTTTTTAGAAAATGGTGCTGGGAAAACTGGCTATACACATGTAGAAGATTCAGTGTAGACCAATATTCCTCATCGTGTACCAAAATAAAATAAAATGGATCAAGGAGCTAAGTATTAAAACAGAAATATTTAAGCCACTGGAAGATAAAATAGGTACAACTCCTAATGACGTAGCCACGGGCAAGGACTTTCTGAACAGAGCCTCTGTTACACAAGAAATAACACCGAGAATAAACAAATAAAAAATTAAAAAGCTTTCATGCGCCAAAGGAAATGATCCACAGAGTAAAGGGCCAGGGATTTGGCTCAGTGGTGCCGCCGCCTGCCTTGCAAGCCCAAGGTCCTGAGTTCAATCCTGATACCAAAAACAAACAAAATCAACAGAGTGAAGAAACACCTATGGAATGGGAAAAAAAAAAGAAAAGTATTTACCAGCTACCCCGGGACAGAGCACTAATATCTAGAATATACGAAGAACTCAAAAACATTAGATTCCCCTCAAACAAAGACTTAATTTTTAAAAATGGGCATCCAAAATGAAGAGAGACTTCTCAGACTCAGAAGTACATGTGGCCAATAAATACATGAAAAAAATGTTCAGCATTTCTAACCATTAAAGACATGCAGATTAAAACAACACGGAGGCTCCATCTTACCCCCAGAAAGATTGGCCATCATCAAAAAAAAATCAAATATCAAGTGACAGAGAGACTGCAGGGAAAAAGGAAGCCTTCTATATTATTGGCAGGAATGTAAACTAATACAATTGCTATGGAAAATGGTATGAAAATTCCTCAAGACATTAAAACTAGAAATTCTGTTTGAGCCAGGTATTCTCCTTCCAGGCATCTTCCCAAAAGATTTAAAGACATCACGTTACAATGATATACACACACAGAGACCTTTTTTTTTCTTGATTTGGTACCGGGGGATCGAACTTGGGTCCTTGTGCTTGTCAGGCAGGTGGTGGAACCACTGAGCTAAATCCCTGATCCCCTGTCACACACCCATGTTTATAGCAGCACAACTCTTAATAATTAAATCTTGGAAGTGGCCTCTATGTCCATCAACAGGTGAACAGATAACAAAAATGTGGTATTTCTGTGCAGTGGATATTTAAACCACTCTGACGTAAAGAAGGGTGCATTTGAGGTGTCTGTGGAAAAACGGGTGCACTTTGAGACCATAATGCGAAGCGAAATGAATCAGACACACACACTTGAATATCGCATAGCTTCTCTTGCATAAGTAACCCAAAGTCTAAATAAATTAAAGAACGAAATTGAAAAGAAAACCCAACAGATAAAAGGAAGCAGGGACGTTGATGCCGACAGAGAAAGTGTGGAGGGAAAGGGGGATGACGAGGGTGGAGCTGGGCTGGACGGACCCACTCTCCGTGCTGACTGCGATCGTTAGGAAATGCAGAGCTGTACCTAATAAAGGTAAAAATGTGACAGTGCTCGCGGGGGCCTCGGTGGGCCTCGGTGGGAGAGCTCGTGCCTGACGTGCCAGGCTCTGAGTTCGATTCCCAGCACAGCAGAGCGAAGACAAAAGTACTCAGAGACAGCGGTGACGGGCGTGAGCGGCCCCCGCATTAAAACACAAGGCAGCGCTTTCCCGTACGTAGAGTCAGCAAAAATAAAGAAAGCATCTAGTTTCTAAGAAAAAGCAACCGCAAAGATTAAAAACATCCTGGCACCACAAAACAAATAAAACAAAATGAAATACCCTAGGACCAAGGCCAGCAAGACTGCAGACCCGAGGCGGCCAGGAGTGCTATTGGGACACAGGCAAACCCCACAGCTTCTCTCCCGTCTCCCCACTGCCCTTCCCTCCCCCCGCTGGCCCTCCCTCTCCTCCTCGGACTCTGGTCCTCCAGGCAGGGTTCCCGTGGCTCAGCTCTAGCCCCACGCTGCCTGGCTAAACCCCTGTGGCCTTGAGACCGAGACCTTCTCCACCCTTCCTCTAACCCCGAATTGGCAAACCCAGAGATTCCTCCCTCAAACACAGGCTCGTCAAATGCACTTGGGGCAGCTGCTCTGCACCCACCCCGGTACATCCGGCCTCTTGCTCTCCTTCTTCCTGTCACAATTCCTCTGAAAACCTCCCTCAGTGCCCCTCCCGCATGACCACCCACTGCCCTGTGCCCTCTGTCCCAGGGTGCAGTCCTGAAGTCGGCCGGCTCCATGGTGGACACAGCCACCCTGCTCTGTGCTCTGCACAGACCAGAGAGGCTCCCGTGACACTGCCCGCAGTCTCAGGTCCATCTTCCCTCCCGCGGACCCTCCCAGGGGACAGCCCCTCACCTGGGAACCAGAGAAGCAGCAGGGCCCAAGGCAGCCCCCGGCCAGGGGACATCCTTCCACAGAGGGGACCTGCAGCCGCGCAGAGTGGGACCCCAGGAGGCAGCCCCGCCTGTGGAGGGTCGGTGTTCACCGCTCCCACTTCTGCTTTCTTCAGGTCTTGCTGTTTCCTTGCTCAGCTCCTTTTGGTTCTGTTCCTAGAGCTGGAGAGAAAATGGAGGAAGCTGAGGGAGCCAAGCCGCGGGTTTCAGTTGAGACACCCAGGAGCGGTACAGGAACCACCCTATGAACCCCCGTAGAATGGGCAGGTCCTGTGGCTTTCTCCCTTGGTGAGACTCCCCTCCTGGGCCCCCTCACACCCGGGCACAGGTTGGGTTTTCTTCTGCCTGGGGCCCAGTCACTCTTCCTGTACCCTTGTAGTCATGATAGCAACCCTGTGGAGAAGGGCAAGAGATGCCCACATCCTGCCCCTGGGCAGTGCCCACCATGAGGTCATCCATGGCAGCTCCCTCCCGTGCGCCTCAGCCTTAGGCCTGGACCCCTGAGTTGGCACAACTGTCCCAGAGTCCCTGACTGGTTCCTGGTCTTGGCCTGCGTCCTCAGTTTGACCAAGAGGTCCTCACACGGTGACCTTCCTTCCTGTGTGGCCCCCAGCGGACCTGAGCAAGGCCTTGCGGAACCTGCAAGGACCCTATGCACACTCACACAGATGCCTGTGACAAGTGCCCCTCGTGGTACATGTGTCCTAACAGCCTGCAAAGCTCTGAGCTTTGTGCCCCGATGAGACCCCGAGAATTCCTTTCCCTGCTGGTCCTCTTTCCTCCTGGCCATGAGACTACCGTGTCCAGCTAAGACTCACTCTTCTGCTTCTAGAAAGCTCAAGGACAGAACCTGCTAGACCTTGGAGAAGTTTCTCTGACAGCAGGCATGGTAGCACACACCTGTGGTCCCAGACACTTAGGAGACTGAGGCAGGAAGATCACCTGAGCTCAGGAGCTCAAGGCTGGTCTGGGCAACAGTGACAGACCTTGTCCTGTGAAAAAGAAAAAATTCTATGATATGTACTGTCATCTTAGATTAACGAAAGCTCAGTACAGTCCAAGAAGCCTTGCATATTGGCCTTGATGAGCGGAACATGAAGATGGAGGATGTCACACCCACTGGTTCACAGGGCCTGACTGTGGTTAAGTTCCCAGAAGTGTGTATTTTTTTCAATTCACCCACAGCCCGTGTTACAGCGGCTTGATGCTGAGCTACACTGAGAAGCAGAAGGCTCATGAAGCTTGTCCAGTTGCCACCGAGCGGCTATGAGCAAAACCTGTGGCTTTGTAAAAGGTCAATAATAGAAGTTCTTGGGTGGCAGTGAGTCAAGGTGGTAATCATGAGAAACTCTCAAATGTGAGTGTCATTAACATCTCAGGACAGTAGGGGGCGACATCTCTAAGGAGAGGCAGGAGGGAAATTGGATTCTATAGGGAGGAGGATGCTTTGCAGGTCATTCCTGTCATGTTGCCCCACCCTAGCTTGCCTGGGCTGTACTGAGTGAAGAAGAGTCATCTGGGGCCACATATAAAATATATAACGTGATTTACACGAGTATCTTAATTTATTAGATTGTTTGGGTTTGTTTTTTGTTTTTTGTTTCTTTTGAAACAGGGTCTCACTACGTAATTGAGACTGACCTGGAACTCACTATGTAGCCTAGGCTGGTCTCAAACTCACAGCGATCCTCCTGCCTCAGCCTCCCGGGTGCTGGGATTACAGGAATGAGCCACCATGCCCAGTTTAATTTACTAAATCGTTTTACAAGATAATGCATATGTCTGCTTAATAACAATAAGCACCTGTCCTCACAGGCACGCACACAAGCTGGTAGGTGGAAATAGTGTGATTGGTAACTGCTGTGTTTGGTTTGCCAAGTCACCCAAGCGCATGTAACATCTGATATAAGGGCGTTTTGATTCCACTAATTGTAGCTGGTGCTAGAGGAGGAATTAGAACTGCACTGCACCCTTTTCTCCACAGTGTTCCCTCGTCACCTACACAGTTTGTGCTTAAGTACGACAACTGAGTCATAAAAATATTGCTAAACATCGCATAATGTTAAGCTGGGCATGGTGATATATGCCTATAATCCCAGAACTCAGGAGGCTGAGGCAGGAGGATTGCAAGTTTAAGGCTAGCCTGAGCGAGATAGCAAGACCCCATCTCAAAAGAACAAAACAAGAGAAAAAAAAATCACAAACTGAAAAGTTTAAAGTCTTGTAGGGCTGTATTTCTAGCTGTCCAAGTCCCTATGCAGCCTTAGACAGACCTAATGCATGGGGTGTGATTGTCCTGAGAAACAGGGAAAAACATCAGGATGATTACAGAGAGAGATGGGTCCTGGAGTGGGTGCTTACCACACCCGTCCTCTTCCCCTGACCTGTCCGCAAACCCAAAGAAAGAAAAAGAAAGGAAGAAAGAAAGAGATGCTAAATGACTATGTGACATCAGGAAATTAAGGAAGTGACACTTCCCCACAGCTCTCTGAAGCCCGGTCCTGGACTGGATGTGGGGGACTGGAGGTGGACCTGAGGACCACAAAGCTGACCCCCCTTGCCTGGGGTGGGGTGACTGGGTTGCCAGGGATGTAGCCCAGTGGTGCCTTGCTGGCCTGGAAAGTGCGAGGTCCCCTGTTTGATCCCCTGTACCAAAAACAGACAAGCCTCCAGGGGTGGGCAGCAAAGGGCTGCCGGACTGGGAGGTTCTGGATTTCCTTCCCAGGCAGGAGAGGATGCAATCGGCGGCCGTGGCCCCGCCCTCTGCTCTGGCCCCCCACACCCACCTTCCTGCCCACCTCTGGGTGGTCCCGGAGGGGCCTCTGAACCTACGTTCCTCACTCCCCAGGCCACAGTCCACACCAGCTGGTCGTCATGGCCATAATGTGTCCCCTCCGGGTGGTGAGGTGCTGAAGGCCGATGAACAGAGGGAGAGAGGAAGCTGCAGGCTGGCAGACGGCTGGTGGTCACAACCATAGGCCTTAACGTAATCACAACACAGTCGGACACCACTGTAGGAACGGAGGGCAGAAGACTCCTGGGCCCTTAACCTGTTACTCATTAAAAGCATGATTGTTTTATTTTGAAAGAGTCAGAGACTTAACTTGGTGTGACACTAACTTTTCGCTCGGGCCTAGCAGGTTGTACTAGGTAACTACAAGTAGAACAAAGCTTAACCTTCCTTTGGTGTCCTTGGTTATTGCTTCAGAACTTGGATGCAGGCATGTTAATCGTTCAGGAAAAGTTGTAGAGACCAGGTTCACCAGCCCTATGGCGTATCTCATCCCCCTTCCAGCCGGAGGGCACCAAGACAAGGGTGACTGAAGTAATTCTCAGGACGTGCAGGGCAGCCGACCGCCACCTTTCACAGAGTCCAGCTCCAATTCCTTCCCGGAACACCGCCTAGAACTCTCCGGCCACCGTCTACTCCTGTGGTCACCTGGGCCCCCGAAAAAACGCATAATCTCACATGACCGCGACTGCTGCAAAGACAACCATTCCGTGAAAACCAAACCACCCCTCAGGCCACCAGGATGCCTCTAGGACTGAGACGATGATCCACCGGACCCCAGCCTAACAGCACCCCACTAGTCTCTCCTCCTTTGTGAGCAGGCCGGCCGGATCCTCTCTTCCGACCTGAGCCCCTTTCTCAATTCGAAGCCCTTCTACCTTCTTCCACGTCCTTTGTTAAGAGCCTGGCTTTGTCAGAGCTGTGCCCCGCCCCACTCCACTTTCTCTTATTTTCTGGGGACACGTTTGCCTGTAGTTAGTTCTGCAGCCTTTGTTTCATTTTCATTCTCACTAAGGCAAGGACCCATGCCAGCTGAGGACAGCCTCGCTTCCTGCCCAGGGGGCCCTCCCAGCTCTACCTAGGCCCTGCCCCTCTCCGGCCTGGGAGAGAGTAGCCGGGACGAGGACCCACAGGCTGCCTGTGACATGGAGCAGGGCCCCGGAGGTGGGCTCAGGGGCCTCATCTTCAGTCCTCTGCGGCCCTCTGAGTCCCTCAAGGGTCAGGAAGCCAGCTTCTCGGGAGCTACCCTGCCTTCTCCAGGCCCCTTGGAGCCCTTTCCCACATCCCTGCTCCCCACAGTGCCTATTTCTCTTTGGGGATTGAACTCAGGACCTTGCGCTGGTGAGGCGGGCAGCAGCACCACTGAGCTAAAGCCCAACAACTAGGTGCCACAGCATGCCCTCCCGACGAGGGCAGCGGGAACAACATGCGCAGCCTCAGACTCCCGGCTGAATTGGAGAGAGGAGCCCAGAGGCCACAGGACTTCACCGGATCAGGCCACGGGCACAGAGGAGCCTCTTATTCTCTGGCCTGCTCTAGCCCCAGGGATAAGGAAGAGAGAACTGAGTAGCCCAACCCTGAGCAACCCTCCAGCACCTGAAGCAGAAAACAGGTCAGGCAGAGGAAGGCGGTGTGCGCTCCCGTAGGAGGAGGTCATGGCTTTATCAGGCTGCCGGCCTCTCCCCTCTGCCTCACGCATGTCCTAGGGACCCACAGGAGCGGCAGTGTTAGGGAAGGCGCCCCTCCCAGCCCACTCTTCGCTTCTGAGTCACAGGTAGCAGTCAGGGACCAGGGGTGGGAGGCAGGGGTGGCAATGGGCACCACAGCAGGAGAGGTCTGAGCTCCGAGCTGTGGGCCTTGCTCACTCCGGTCTTTCTCATCCCTGCGATGGGAACTCGCTCCTCGCCCAGCCCAGCTCACAGTGCCCGGAGACCTAGGAGGTCCGAGGTGGGAGCGCACCGCGCAGCAGGTAAGGGTGTCTGCCCTAAGACAATGAGTGTGAGGATCGAGTCCCCGCCTTACCCCGGGGGAGGAGGTGTCTGACCTGTGAGAACCCACACCTGCCCCAGGAAACCCAAACTCCCTCCCACTGTGTGCGTCTGTGTGTGTGTGTGTGTGTGTGTGTGAGAGAGAGAGAGAGAGAGAGAGAGAGAGAAGGAGAGATTGATGGGGGGCACTCCATAGGGAGGTCCACGCAATGCAGACGAGAAAGAAGCTAGGAGTAGACAGTGGGGGCCTCCGCTGCTGACCCAAGAACGCCATGGGGCTGTGAGGACCCACAGGAGGGACTGTCCCAAGACCTCCCTGTTGCTGCCCCCACCCCTACTTCTCCTTTCTCCCACACAAGGGGCGGCCTCGAGTGGGCTCCTGCCTGGGCTGATCCAGGGGAAGATGCGATGAACCGGTAGGCGGTGAGTTCCGGTCACTGTGAGTCCTCAGGAAGGCAGTAGCTTCCTCA